TTTACTTTTATTCCACACCTGTATAAATATCAATGGTTTATATTTTACTTGCTAGTGTCTTCTGAAATTGGTTGATGCATCACCATCCTCATTCCCATTTTATCCAGAGAGAATATGATCTGCTACAATTTTTTAATATGCCCTCATTTGCATCGACTACCGAACCAACCTGATGCAGACTTGACCCAATTATTTCAGCCATCTTCATACTTGATTCTCATCACCAAGGCTTCATTGAATGGAATGGCTATAGACATGGATAAGAGGAACTTGCCTCCAAACATATGGCTCAGCTTTGCATAGTTGGTCACCGTGCATGGAAATGTCAGCCTCAAACACCAGTTAAAAATTACTGGACAGGTGCTGCTGACCCATTCAAATTCATTCCATTTGAATTTCCAGCTGCACTGTCACTGGCATTTTAAAAAAGTGTGATACAATGTGACAGGTGTCCTGAAATCAGGGCTGTGTGTCTCTGGAAAGAGCAAATGGGTGACAATATCTAGATCTGAAGTTTACAGTAACACTGAGCCAACTGCATTGGCTATGAGGTAAGAGCCGCATCTGTGCCTTGTGTTTTTGTGGAAGAGGTGAAGCAAGGCAGAGAGAGAGCAAATTTAACCTTGGCAATTAGTAGACTTTTGTGCAAGAATAAGTAATACCCAAGAAAGCTTGATGGCCTAGTTTCTTTCCAATAATAGTTCATCTTTAATATTTCCAATAATGAGCTCTTGTTATATTATTACATACTGCATTATTTATACATTGTCTTTATTCAGGATGTAGAGAATTTCAACTTTAGAAGAAGTTGTAATCTTTTTTAGATTATTTTAAGGTTGGGAAATTTAATGTTTTCTTTTGTGTGTGTATACTAAATCCTACAGCTAGCAGAGATTTTGTTTTTCATTACAAAATAATTTATAGGAGCTGGGTAGATAGCCCAGCAGGTAAATGGTAAAGGGCTTGCTGTGCAAATTCAAGGACCCAAGTTCAGATCTCCAAAGATACATAAAGATGAATGTGTTAGCATGTGCCTGTAACCCCAGATTTCTTATGGTGAGATGAGAGAACAGACAGGAGACTGAGGAAGCTCAGGGACCAGGTGGCTTGGCATTCAGGGTACACAGAACAAGAAGCCCTTACTCAGAACGGTGGACGGCAGGACTGGAGAGGTGGATCAGTAGTTAGAGCATCAGCTGCTCTTGCAGAGGACCAAGTTCAGTTCCCAACACTCATGTCAGGCATGTTGATGGTCTGAAACTCCAGATCCAGGGCATCCAATGTCCTCTTGGTGGACTCCTTGGGCATGGTACCCACATACACAAACACACACACATGTGCACATATTAAAAATAATTTTTTAAAAAGGTAGATGGCAGATTGTCACCAAGGATGTACTCTGACATGCACATGCATGCACCTACACTCAGAAACAGGAGTACAGATCACACACAGATCTGCACATGCTTGAACTTACAGGCAGATACAGGAGTACAAATCACACACAAACATCACTGACATATACAAAAAGATAAAAAAATAGTTGATAACTTGACTGTTTGTTGTTGGATTTTGCTCTTTGCTATTTTGGGGGACCTGCCACCCAGCTCCCAAATAAATTACACACGGAGGCTTATTCTTAATTATAAATGCTGGCCTTAGCTTGGCTTGTTTCTTGCCAGCTTTCCTTAGCTTTAAATTATCCCATCTACCTTTTGCTTCTGAGCTTTTCTTGTTCTCTTACTTCTGTAAATCTTACTTACACTGTGGTTTGCTGTGTAGCTGGGTGGCTGGCCCCTGGAGTCCTCCTCCTTCTCTGGCTACTTCTTCCTTTCCCAGATTTCTCCTTCTTTATATTCTCTGTGCCTGCGATCCTTGTCTATCCTTTCTTCTGCCTTGCTATTGTCCATTCAGTTCTTTATTAGACCATGAGGTGTTTTAGACAGGCAAAGTAACACAGCTTCACAGAGTTAAACAAATGCAACATAAATAAAAGTGACACACCTTAAAATAATATTCTACAACATTTCTGCCTTTTTGTCTAAATGAAAAGAAAGGTTTTAACTTTAACATGGTACAACCACATACAACAAAAACGATTATCAAGTAAAAATTACATTTACAATATTCTGTCTATTTGTAGTTAGCATATTCAGAGAAAATAATGCTTTACCTATTCTATCTTAGTGAATCCAAATTTTTATACCTAATTTACTTTCTATCATATCTAAGGAAAACTGCAACTGTAACTATCTAGTATTCAACTCTATCAAAGACACAGAAGGATGTAATACTAGCTAACAACAGAGACATTTGGCTGCCTGGACAGCCACCCAAATGTCCTCTGCAATCTTGGTGCATACTTTTTCAGCCTTCAGGCCCAAAATACCTGGCAAACTTTTCAGTGAAGCAGGAAATCTGAAGGACTGTCCTGCTTTGTTTTGGCAAAGTTTGTCAGTCACTTTCCTGTGTGTCCTGCATGTCCAGTCTGCACAGCACATTGTCTGCAGTCAAAGGGAAGAACAGTTTTTTTGCCCAGCGGGCACAGCCACAAGGAAAGCAAACTCCATAAGGAGTTTCTTCAATGCCCATCATCTTTGAAGTAAATTGCTGCTGCCAGGAGCAGATGTGTCTCATTGTCATGAAAACCCCTAAGTTAACAAAACAATTTAAATGCCATATTTTATGTCTTTGAAAGGTTTGAAGACCACCTATCTAAAATATATCTCTATATGATCTGGAAAGCATATCTAACATATCTACAATTTTGATTGTTATAAATGACTGACCACTAACCTATGCTTCCTGATTATCTTATATAGCTTATAATAACAGCTTTTAAAAACTAGAATTTTACCTTACATTTTTAAATAAACCTCATAGGTACAATACCTTAAATAAGAATAGAAGCATATATACAATATGTTGTATCAAAAATAATCTTAAATTTTTATCGATATACAAAAATCATTTAATAAGAGTAGAAACATATATACAGTGTAACAAAAATAACTTTAAATTTGTATCAATATACTATAATACCCTAAATTATAACAAACATCCTTAGCTTGCCAAATAACCAAAAGCCTCCCACACCCCTCTTGGGAATGTGGATGCCTGTTCTCCAAACTGGTTTCTGCTGTCTGTGGATGAAGTATCTTTAGAGTCCCAGAGAGAAAATTTTGAGATAATGACCAAGTCCTGGGAACAGTAATCTTTGCTGCTAGGTACCACCTGTCAAGTTTCAGGAGGTCTCACCTGATCAAACCTGATCCATATTAACCCATATAAACCCTGTTTCTCCTTTGGGAACACAACTCCAAGGCATTTTTGATTTCCATTTGACAAATATATTTTTTGACTTTTTAAATGTTAAGGCATTCCTAATATACATAGGCTGGTTTATTTCAACACTCCCTCTTTCAATCCCAGGTCTCTTTGCAGCTGTCCTTTGCTTTTCAACAATCAAAAAATTCAAAATCAACACAATAACATATAAGATCCAGACTCCCTGTGTATTTTCCATCTTACATGCCTTTTTTCTTTTATATTACTTTTACTCTCTCTTTAAAGACTTTATTATTATTTTTAAACTATTCATTTCTTTCTATGACTATACCCTTTTTCTTTTCTTAAGTCTACACACATTGGTAAACACAATGCAACCTGTTGGTTT